GGTCTAACCTTCTTCAGCTTTGCTGTAGCTCGAGTATTTTCGCGTCCTCCCCTCTCTCACTGTGGAGCTTTCGCACGCAATGATCAAAGATACAGCAATTGGAATTGTATTCAAGTTGATTAAGATGGGCGCTGTATCCATTCCCACCATAAGTTAGTCACTACTACAGTAAAGTACTGTACTTTACTTGCAAAGTACCCTTTCAAAGATCAATCAATAGATAATGGATTACAATCTGACTCTTGTGGTGAACGGCCCCGCAGTCACCGACCGGGCTGGAGTACGTACCACCCAAATTGTGGCCGTGGTGGGCTGTCAGATAGGGGGGGGAGGGTGGAGGGGAGATAGAAGGAGGGGCGGGCGATAGCTGAGTACTAAAGAATAGAGATAGGGATGCGATGACTTCGATAATAATCACTTGGTAGTGCCCTAGACCTTACTTGCCCCAACTGACGTTACTTAGACAACTCGAATATTCTTGTTCTTCACTTGCTTGCTGCTGCTGCTGCTGCTGCACCCACCCACCCAACAGAGTTACATACCATACCGCTTTGAAGCTGCTCTCTCATACCAAGCCCAACCCCACAATAACAATAATGAATTCATCGTCACAGAGAAGAGACCCCGGGTCGAAGACGGAGAACCAACCAATGCAATCGAGAAATGCACAGAGGATCCAGAGGATCCAGAGGCTCCCTCAGACTCTCAGTCAGCTAGTGGGTGCTGCGAGTCCTCCTTAGGCTACCTTCTAGGGTTAGGTCGCAGGTGACTGCCGCTGAACGGGGGTTCCGTCACTAATCAAAACAGGGATAGGGTGCTAGGAGCTACTACATTATGTAGGTATAGACAACAATCTAATCACTATCGCATAGGCTCTGGCTGGAGACTCTGGATCGATTTCAGATCTAAAGAACCGACATCCATGATCATCTACATATTATGATCAGGGGAGAGAAGAAACATGTAAAATGCTGCCCGATGTTATGCATATAGGGAGTCAAGTTCTCCCATGCCAGAACAAAAGAAACAACCCAAAAAAAAAACTCGGATCAATTTTAACGGATGTTGACAGGTTCCTTTTCTTTGCCTGGTGTGTGTTTTATTTTTTTTTAGGATATTTTTTTTTTGCTTTTCACTCACACTGGCTGTGTGTAGCGTAGCGTAGCGTGTAGTGCGGAGAGGGAAATTGAAGAGTGGATATAGATGAATGCTCCCTCACATCGGACTAAACTAACAAACGGTCGATTCAGCCAGACGAAAGGACAAGCAGGACCCCCCGGCTGAACCGGGTTGACGGGTTGGAAAGTGTCCATGTGGGTTTGGGAAGAGGGAGAGTCCACTTGAAAGTATCCATCCACCGTCCAGTCTGTGACTCTGGCTTCGGTAATTGGGGGGAGAAAGACCAGAAAGACCAGAAAGACCAGAAATTATGGGTCAAGGAACTCTAGGAACTTTAGAGCAAAGGACGTGTCCTAAGCGGGATTGGGGATAGTGCGGTGACGCGGGTTAGTCAGAAATCCAAAGGAACTAACTAAGTAACTAACTAAATAATTGAAGAAGTGGCAATAGAGGAATGCAGTGCGTGCCTGTGCCGGAAGACCGCTCAAATCGCTTGATTTTGCAACCCCCCTCCGTCAGTCCCGCCGGGAAACGAAGCCCCTCTTTTCCGCCTCCCACTTCCCTGTTGTTGTGGTTCTCCTGCGCTGCTCGTCGCCCAAATCAACTGCCAACACCGACTGCTGGTCACGACCGCCTCACTTGTCGCGATCCAGCGATCGCCCAAATCTTCCTTCCCCCATCATCAGCTTGTGCCCACGTCCTGTCGCGACTTGCTCGCACTTCCCTCCTCCCCTCCAGTCCCCTCCCCTCCCCTTCCCTTCCTTCGACCCAGACTCTCTCTCCCTCTGTCTGTCTGTCTGTCTCTGTGTGTCTCTCTCCCTCCCGCAAATTCGCACCGCACTCTACTTTCTCCTCATCCATTCACCATTCAATCTTCTCCCTCCCCCCTCCCTCCCTCCGTCCCTCGTCCCTCGTCCCTCTTACCCATTCTTTTCTTCCTCTTCTTTTCTTCTTCTGTCTTCCTCCCTCTTTTCTCCTCCTTCTCTCTTAACGTCTTTCCTCCCCCTCCCCTCCCCTCCTCCTCTTCTTTTCCCTTCCCTTTCCCCTCTTCCCTCCCCTCCTACTGGGTCATTATTCAACATCTTGCTCGCCTTCTCTTCCGTTACTTCTTCTGGGTCTTTCTCTTTCCTCTTTTCACTGCCGATTTTCGCCATTCTGGCCGTCCACGCCACTTTCACGATTCCCCTCTCCTAATCCGCCTGTGGCTGGATAACTTCAACCCTTCTTCTCATCCCTTCGAGTTCAACCTACGCTCTTCTCCAAGATACCCCCACACAAGGAATGACCAGACAACAAACCGGATCCTTGTCGTCTACCCGTCTTCAGAATCGGTGTGAAATCACGAAAGGAACGATAGCGCAATCTTCGCAGTCGAACCTGTTCCATTGAGATCCAGCCTCCGTGCCCTTGGTTTCGCTGCCCGCCTCTTCACCCATGGCTCCCAGCGCACCCAACCCGGCGGCCTCCGCACCCGTCAAAAAGACGTCTGTCCCAGAGAAGAAATACAAATGCCAATTTTGCAATCGCGCCTTCAGCCGAAGTGAACACCGCAGCAGACACGAACGATCGCGTAAGTAGTCTACACAATTTCTGGTTGAAAATTCTTGTGATGAGTTGGCTGCGCTGATCCTAATGGCAGTGTGAGGCTAATTCTGGTTTTGATCCACAGATACCAAAGAGAGACCCTTCAAGTGCTTAAAATGTCGGAGCACCTTCGTGCGTCGAGACCTTCTTCTTCGACATGATCGTACTGTCCATGCCAAAGATGGTGGCATTCCACTAGTGTCCGAGGGCAGGCGGCGCGGTGGCGCAGGTGTGCGAAAGACTTCCCCCACCTCCGGCCCCGCCAGCAAACCCTCAGTCACAGTCGATCCTACTACGCTCGAACAGATCGAGGCAAGCAGTGATGGTATGGTCGATCTTGAAACTGCAGCCATGTTGATGACAGATTTCCAACACAAGGCTGCAGCCGCTGCGACTGGTCAATCCAACGATCGTGCTGATTCTGATCGCTCATTTTCCCCCGGACGCAGTTCGTTATTAGAGCCTTCGGTCGGGTATCTGTCTGGAAACGCGACACTCCCGCAAATGCCCTGGGACACCCTTGTCTCGCCGGCTGATACAAAGCACTCGATGGGGTCGCCCTTCGCGTCCCACGATGGTGGAGCCGATTCGCATCCACTTCCGTCAGTGATGGATCGGCACGGTCCCGTAGGCGATGGTTTGGCTCCCTCGCTCCACTCTCTGGTCAACTCGCTCCCCATGTCGGGAACCTCGACGCCGAATGCTTTGTCCCCGTATCCTTCAATGACGGGTCCTGTCAGCCCTGTGAACTACCGTAGATCCCCTGGTCCCAGCCAGGCCTTGACACTGCCCAAGGCTCCTCAAATCGCCAGCGAAACGGAGCGGAACATGATCATGGACCGCCTAGAGGATGCCGACTCGCTCGGTGTACTGCCCGACTCGTTCCAGCTGCCCCCCACATCTGCACTCAACAAGTACCTGTCGACGTATTTCAACCTGTATCACCCTCATCTTCCCTTCTTGCACCAGGAGTCCTTCCAGCCCGCTGACGTCTCGGCGCCTCTGCTTCTCGCGGTTCTCTCTATCGGTGCTTTGTATACTTTTGAGCGGAAGGACGCGTTTATGCTTCATGTGGGGTCCAAGATGCTGGTTAACCAATTCCTGCAACACAAGGAAAACTTTGACTCAAGAAAATGTCCGCTGTGGGCGATGCAGAGTACCCTTCTCAACATGATCTTCGAGAGTTGGAGCGGCGATCCAAAGGGACTGGAGTGGACTTGCTCCATCAAGAGTCTTTTGGCCAATGTGAGTACTTTGTTGATCCAGAGGTTTAAGTGCTTGTACTGATCGATTATAGATGGTTGCTGGAAATCGCTATCAACTGAAGCTTCGCACTGAGGGTCGTGAGGGTATCCCTTCCAGAGAGGATTGGATTGAGGATGAGTCTTGCCGCCGTACCTATTTCGCGGTCTACATTTTCTTTGGCATGCTCACCTTGACTTTCAACCACACCCCAGCGATGAGCTTCGACGAGTTTGACAATCTTGAGCTCCCTTCTTCCGAGTCTTTGTGGAACCTCGATGTGACCGACGACGACGCTTGGCGCCGGAGCCTGGCCAATGCTTCCACCTTGACCGTTCGAGAAGCCCACGATTGTCTTTTCCAAGGCGAGCAGACCCGATACAGTGCATTCGCCACACGCGTTCTCATCAACGCTCTGTTTCTCCAAGTGTGGAACCACAAGCGCAGTTTCGAGGCTCTGCAGGACGTGGTTACCGAGTACAAGCTTCGCCTCGCTTTGGAAACCTGGGAAAGCTCTCTTGAAGTCTGCGAGCCGGAGACGATGGTGGTGCCCCTCAGCACCCCTCAGAAGGGCCACCCTCTGATCTTCAACTCGATGGCGGTCTACCGAAACACTCGCGCTCGCCTGGAAGTGGATCTCAAGTCAATCCAGGAGGCTCTGCGCTACCACTCTTCGTACGAAGTGGCTGCTGCCATGACGGTGGCCCGCGAGAAGGTCAAGCGGTCTCAAGAGATGAACAAGGTCATACAATCGTGCTTCGAGTGCATCGAAATAGCGGCCGTTCAAGGGATCAACTGGGTGGCGCAGACGTCTGCCACGAACTGGAGCGTCGAGCACCCACTGTGTGGCTTGGACTTGATGGTGATCCTCAGTCTCTGGCTCTATCGCCTGGAACATGACGAAGAGCCAGCGACCGAGGCGGAAATCGCCATCTACAACAAGGTGCGGAATCTGTTTGATGATGATGCCGTCGATGCTTTTGGTAAACTCAGCTCTACCGTAGCCCGTGTATGGGGTAATATCCTAGACGGTGTGGTAGTATGGGGGTAAGTCATTCACTTCTGGTTTCGATTGACAGTTCAGGTTACTAACTATTCGAACAGCATTACCAAACTCATGGGCGAGTCATTCAAACTCCATTCGCAAGCCTTGATCGGCTACGAGGATTCGTTGCGCGTTGCCAAAGACCAGCCTATTCATGCAATGCCTCCCAAGACGTTGGCCAGTGTGGGAACGGCATACTAATGCTGCACATGCCACGGCCAAGGTGACCCCGGTTGCCTGAAACACATACACTTCTCTACATTCATTCAACATCATATTTGGGACACTGGATTTCGGTTTAGGGTCGGGAACGGATGCGCAAGTCTGGGCGGCAAGATGTGATTTCCGGTGACGAACTCAACCGCCGCATAATGATTCCTTGCTGGCGTTCCCCGGCTCCTTTTCATTACTTTTACTTTTCTTTCCCCTATCATGCGTTATGGTTCGTATTTCTATCGGTTTTTGCAAGAGCTCACGGGAGTCCGGTGTGGTCATTTTCTTGTTTTGATGGGTTGATTTTTCCCAGGCAACATCTCGACACCCGGCTGGTCCTGTGTGTTCTTCCCTCGCACTCGGTGGAGTTGTTGTTTTTTTGTCTGCTTTCTATCTGCTCGTCTACACCCTTAATTCTTAGTGCTGTCCGTTCGATTCTTGCGCATGAGCGTCTTTGGTTTTCTTTCTTTGGGGTCCGAGACATGTTGTCTTCGACTGCTTTTTCGATACCTTCTGTCCGTTATATACTTTTTTTCTCTTCTTCTCTCTTCTCTCTTAGTCCTTCGTTGACATACACTTTTTCTCCCCTACTTGTTGATGCCATCTTAATGTGAGCTTGCGTGCTGTTCATGTGATTAACGCGTCCCCGCCTGTTGATTGTTTTTCCGCTCTATTGTTCTGCTGCTTTGGGTTTTTCCTATTCGCATGTTGCGATCTGAAGATTCTTTTTTCTTTTTCGATGTTGATTCTTTCCGCACTGTTGCACATGCTTAATTGGTTGTAGTTTGTTCTGTACAATAAGTAATTTGCACACAAAATATAAGTATTTGGCGGGGATTGCAGCTCGGTAGTTGTAGTAGTTCGGTGGTTGTAGTATGATAAACCTGTCCTAAACCTTGGTCATCCGCATGATTAAACACTTTGACTTTGGTTATGCCCATAACTCCTTCTCAATCATATATACACTGTGACTAGAGGGAAGGGGGCGTTCAAGAATAGACAGGCTCAACGATCAGGCAATAACCACAAAAATTCCCAAAAAATCCCAACACGAACATCCCCAGCGGGGAACGCAGGCACCCACGCATTCCGCCATCGGGAAAGGTACGTAGTAGCGCGTCCCGCAGCCGAGCGGGGCGAGGACGGTCGCGAAGACGGCGTCTTGAGGTCCCGGGGTAGAGAGTTAGGGATTGTGGGACTAGTTGGGCGAGGGTGCCGAAGATGGAGAAGAAGGGTTAGGTAGATGAGGGTGGTGAGGGTTGTGAAGGTGGTGAATTGGGGGAGGCGTGCTGGGGGTTGTGTAGGTGTGTCTTCGGTGGGCTTTGCGCGACCTTGTTGGGGGGCATGGTCGGTTGTGGGAGGGGCGGCGCTGGTTTTGGTGGGGCCACTGTCGGGTAGTTTCATTGCTTTGGTTGTTGTGGTTGTGGTTGTGATGCCATTTCGGCGTGATGGTTTGCGACAAAGAAGTTCGGAGCGGAGAGAAGTCCGGAGAGACAGAAGACAGAAGACTGTGGAGGTGGGGTCGGTGGAGCACAGGCTGGATTCTGGTTCGCTGGGCGAGATCGACGGGGTATACCTGGGGATTTAAGATAACGATTAACCAGAGAGAGATCATGATAAACAATTTATCAGTGCGGACTCCGGAGATATCCTCACCTGAAGGAACGATAGGCGATAGACGATTGACGATACAGTGAATGCAATCAGTGGCAGAGTGAATGAGGAAAGGAAGAATGCCTGAGGATCAGCGGACCAGGCACGGCGCAGGTGACTTTCTGCTGCCTTGTTTGTTTTACCCCTCATTCCCATCTGCATCATTTCATTTCCACTCTTCTCTTCTTCTTCTACCAACGCACTGCTACCTGAGCTACTCCCAGCTACTTCCAGCTACTCCCAAGCTATAAAACCCCTCCCCCTCCTCCGTCTCTGTATCTCAGCTCAACTTCCCACATTTACCTATAAACTAACTCAACCACCATGAGCCTCCCCTCCAACGTCCACGTCTCCTCCCACCCCCTCCTGCAGGCCAAGCTCTCGCAACTGCGCTCCTCCTCCACCTCCACCCGTCAAACCCGCGATCTCGTCCACGAGATTGCCACCATTCTGGGCGTGGAAGCTTTTGCATCTGGCTGGAAAACGAAGCAAGATGGAACGGTATGCTTGTCGTCTACCACCACCACCGTTACCAGAAGCTAACCGCCAACAACAGGACAAAACCCCACTAGGCATCGAATACCCAACCACGACCCTCGACCCCTCCAACATCGCCTTGGTGCCCATCCTCCGCTCCGGACTAGGCATGACCGACGGTACGTGCAACCCCGGCCCCAGCCCCAGCCCCCCGATAACCCCATCGCATATCCTTCCTTATCAGCCCCTAATCTATCAGCCCCTCTTATCTCCCACCCCGGGGACTCCTTATCTCCACCCCCCAAATCTAAACCATGCTGACAGAAAATAGCCATAAACTCGCTCCTCCCCACCAGCATCCCCATCTACCACCTGGGCCTCTTCCGCGAGCGCCTCACCCTGCAACCGGTCGAGTACTACAACAACCTGCCCTTCCACAAGGCCGCCGGCAGCGCCAACCCGGCCGCCGCCGAGACGGCCATCCTGCTGGACCCGATCATCGCGACGGGCGCCACGGCCGAGGCGGCCATCCAGCTGCTGCGGGAATGGGGGGTGCGGCGCGTCGTGATGCTGAGCGTGTTAGGGTCAGAGGCCGGGATCCGCCGGGCGGCGGGGACGTGGGCGGACGGGGTGGAGGTGTGGACGGGGGCGGTGGACGCGCAGTGCGACGAGCGCGGGATGATCGTGCCCGGGTTGGGGGATATTGGGGATCGTTTGTTTGTGGCGATTGGGAAGTAGATTTTTTTTGCTGTCGGTGGGTGGTAAGTTTCAACTGGGTGATTGGGGGGTAAGTTAGGTAGCATTGTCATTATGGCATAGGCATAGATAAATGGGGTGTGAGGAAGAGAATGAATCCATATGAGCTTCATGAACATGATCAAGTCCTTCCTAGTATTCTGCGACTATGAACTAGACCACGAAACATCAACGCCTCCCCTCGCGCACCGATATCCAGTCTGAGATCAATGCCCCCCCTTCCACCCCATAACCTCCATCTCCACCCCGCCGCCGCCGGCCTCATTCCCCCGCTGCCCACTACTACTGCCCGTCCGCCCCCCCACCGCGGAGGGAGCCACGGGGAAAGACCCTCCCACTCCCATACTCCCCGCCCTCTTCACCTCACTTCCAGCGCCAGAATCCCCCGAATCCCCGCCAACCGGATGCGACCTCAAACTCAAATGCCGTTTCCCCATCCCCATCCCCAACCCCAACCCCAACCCAAAGGCAGAAGACGCTTTCCTCCCCGGCCACTTCTCCTTTCCGTCTCCTTTCCCATCGTATCCCTCACTCGGCGTCGTAACCGCCACCCCGATCTCCTCCTCAGCCTGTGAAGGTATCTGCTGGTGGTGGTGCTGGTGATGCAATCCCGCCAACTCCGCGCGCTTCTCAATGATCTTCTCGATCCCGATCGCCGATCCAGATGCCGTGGCCGTGACCGTCGTCATCGGGGTAGATGTCCCTGCACCTGCGCCTGCGCCACCACCACCATAGCCACCCGCGACACTGCTCCCGCCGCCGAGGACGGTCGTCGACCCGGCCGTGATGGTGGTCGAGGTGCCCATGGGCCGGTAGTCCGGGTGCAGGCGCTGCTCGTGCAGGCGCGGGTCCACGCGCCGGGTGTCCAGCATCTGGTGGCGGAGTTTGTCGCGGTGGGCTTCGCGGCGTTCGGCGGCTGAGGCTTCTGGTTAGTATTTTTGAGGTAGGTTGGGGTTGGGGAAAACTCACCGTTCCAGAAGTGGACGTACACGGCCATCACGACGAAGCAGGCCACCAGGAACCCGAAGAGGATGCCGAGTTCGTGGCCCAGGGATTTCATCGGCGTGTAGGGGGGGATGTTGGCGTAGGATCTGGCCATGATTTTTCTGGATGGGGTGGGGTGGGGTTAGCTTTTTTTGGGTTGGGTTAGGGTGGGTTTGGGTTGTTGGATGGGGGTGTTGAAATTTTTTTTTTTTTTTTTTTTTTTTTTTTTTTTTTTTTTTTTTTTTTTTTTTTTTTTTTTTAAAAAAAAAAAAAAAAAAAAAAAAAAAAAGAGGGTGGAAGGGGAAGAGGGGGACTTACTTGTGATGGTTCAGGTGAGGTAGTCCTTGGTTAAGGGTTCGTGGAGAAGATGTTAATAGTTAAGGTGGGCTGCTTGTTGTTGGGGTGGGCTTGGTGATATCGGATGGGTTGTGTGAACAGTCTAGGTTGGATGCAATCGGATTTGGAGCTAGTATCCAGTTCTAGACAGGCTTAGGTTCTGTCGCGGCCAAGTGATGACTTCACTTGGCAGAAATAGCAACACGCAGCAGTTAATTAAGTGTGAAGACAGGAGATATACCACACGGCGCAACCCTCTCATGCAGGTGAGATTCCTCCCGGGGCCGTGGTAGCAATAAGTACTGTACTGTGCTGTGGGGAACGGCTGCTGGGGCGCTGTCAGCACCAGAACACGAGGTCCGATGCGCATGGGACGGAATTCCTTTGTTTCATGGCGACGCACACTGACGAGGCCAAGCAGAGATTCATATTCCCAAAACTGGTCTCGGGCAACGGACAAAGGAACACACCACACACACCTTGGCTCACATGACACGCGCATCGGGAGATTTTGTCCATCGCTCGCGGCGATTTTCGACAGTCTGACAATCGCACAAATTCGGAGATACTACTGTCAGAAAATCAACCAAAAAAAAAGAATTGTTCATAAATAATGGTGGTAGATACATCATGAGAATAGAACAAGAAAAGATCAGCGAGCCACCTGTCGGCTCGACCCCAGATCCAAGGTATCATATACACATACAATCAAGCATCAAAAGAAAAAGAAGAATTGCCCGAGTCTATACATGGTGGCTTGGGTATGCATGCAAAGAAGACGGAAGAAGAAAAAGGTATAAAACAGAAACCTGCAGGGACCGTATCCGGTATCCACATGGTATTAAGTGACCAGTCCACTGCAGATCAGATCAGATGCAGGTGCCAGAGGTTTGGACCCAAGGTATGCGATGCGCTCGTAGCAAGGTGTGGAAAATTGCGACCAACGATTCCAATGCGGTTGCCGGTCGATGTCGTCAAAAAGGTAAAATCGAGAATTATGAAACTCCGTATGCAAAGGTAACAGGTGCGGCCACGGTGTCGATCCTTCAGCCCAGCATGACGGCCGCCAGCGCTGTACAGGTCAATCCAATGGCCATTCCGATCCACGGCGTCTGTCCGAGAGTGCCCTCACTGCGAGCGCGCAGGGCCTTGGTGTCCCGCGAGGAGGCGGCCAGCGTCCCCAGTCCGCTGTCGATGGCGGGGTCCTCGTCCGTCTGAATCCCCCGCTCTTGCCATTGACGGATCTCTGGGTGGATTTCCAGCACGTTTTCTTGGTGGTCGGGCCGGATTTGAATCTCTGGTAACGGAGCAGGCGGGGTGGTATTGGGTAGGGAGGGGGTGGGAGACGGCGCCCGGTCGGCTTCGGCGGCGATAGCTATCGTCGGAACGAGACAGAGAACGATTGTCGAGGGCCTCATGGTGAACTCGGAATATGCGACAGGCTTCAAAGCGACAGAAAAGCGATCGGGGATGAGCTTCGTGTGTATATATAAGACGAGATTATGGTTGTGCGTCGAGATTGTCGCGGGTTTAGATTAGATTGACTCCGATGCGCAAGGCTGCCTCCACCAGGCCCCGAACGTGCGCAATCTCACTCGTGCAGCGAAGGGAATCCACCACCACTGCCACGGTTAAGAGGTGTCGCACTAGAATAATCCAGCAACCACCACAGTAAGCAGCCGAGTCGGGTAGAAGCTGGTCCCGACAGCGCGATTGTCGCACACTTCGGAAGGGTCGAAGCGAGAGGGCGGGAAGCAGGAGGAAGAAGAAAAAAAAAGAATGGTTTGGCAAGTCTCCTGAAACTGGCGGGAACGAGGAACGGACTCAGCCACGGGAACGACAGGCAGCAAAAAAACAAACTCAAACTCAATTCCGCCCCAGCGAGAGTAAGTCGATTTCGACACGCAAGTAATGAAGACCCAAAGCAGACGGACAGAAGGAGGAGGGGAAACGAAGAGGAGGAAAGGAGGAGGAGGAGAAGTATGGGGGAGGGGAAGAAGGAATAGGAGCGAGGAGGAGGAGGAGGAGGAGAGGGAAGAATCCAGGGAGGGAGTTGATTGAGTTGGAGCGAACGGGCGAAATAATAATAATAATAAAATAAATAATAATAATAATCAAACCCAGGGGGTGTACCATGTACCATGTACCGTGTACCGTGTATCGTGTACCGTACCTAACGGGGGTAACTAACGGCCCAGACCACTCCAGTCTCCAGCAGTGCCAGTGACAGGCTAGGCTAATAATGGCCCTGACCCTGCTGCAAAAGTAGTGCCAAATTAGTGGAAATTAGTCCCAATTCACCTGCCTCCTTTGGGTCAAGCGACAAGGCACTGCTCCACTCTTGGGGCGGATTGACGGCATTATCGTGGGTTCTATTGGCTTCCAACTCTGAGCCGTGCCCGCACGGGCTGAACTGCCCTTACTTGGGGTTAGTTGCTTGTCGATCGACCAGTTGATCGAATGTCTCGTGCTACGGAAAGCTTAGAAGCCTTGTCAGGGTTTTACAGCCAAGTGGAGCTGGAGAGCCCGAGGGTCGGCCACTTTCTTCCCTTTCCCTGTAACAATCAGTAACGAGTAACTTAGTCACCTAAACGTGGAACCCGCAACCCGCGGGATCCAAACCCTGATGTGAGACATTTCATCTCGACGGTTAGATTAAGCTGAGACTTTTGACACCACCAGCGGTTTGTGTTTGACTGCAGGCTGATGATTAACCTATGGAGTACTGTTCTGAGTACTGTTCTTCCAAACTTTATGCGAACAGCTACATAGATGATCTACTCTAGCGGCCAAACTACCGGGGGGAGCTGATGGATGTCATAATGGGGATCATCAGCCGACGACGTAGAGGGGCTGGTCCAGTGGTCAGCCTTGGTTGTTGTTTGGTTGTACGGTGCAACAACTTCAAACCACCACCTGCACTCTTGTATGGCGTCATTACAGCCCCTCCTACCCTCACTCTCACTCTTACTAGAGTCCTACTAACTCTTACCAACCACTCTTCCCTACCTACCCTGCATATCCGAAGGTGACGTATCCCCAAAGGAATACGTAAAAAAAATAAAAATAAAAATAAAAAAGTCAGGTTCAATGCAATTGGTTCATTCATTCATTCATTGAACTTGATATCTATCATTCAATCAACTAGCTCCCAGCCTCAAAACTCATAGCATCTTCTCCCAGTCCGGCGTCACCGTGAACTTGCCGCTGAGCTGGCCCATCGCCCAGACCTTCTTCTCATCATCCGGGAACTCCTCGTCGCCCGCGTTCGGCGGCGTGGAGACGATCAGGGCTTCCTGGGAAAAGTCCACCGCCGTCGCGCGATCCAATTCGAAGCTGATACCACCCCAGTCCATCGTCACCCGACCCGATGCGTGGACGTTCAACTTGCCGACTCGGCCAGCCAATAGGCCGGGATCCGCAGCAGTGACGACCTTGGCAGAGCCCTGCGCGGCCGTCGTATCCTCGTCGCCGTCAACGATCTCCATCTCGTCTTCGCGCTTGACCGGCTGTTCGGTGGCTGGGGTCTCGGTAGTGGTGGTGGGGTGAGAGTCCGTAGTCTCAGTACCAGGCAGCACCAGGTTGGGAGTCAAGGGAGGGAATTGCATGAGGAACAGCTGTCCAGCCAGCTTGTCCTCCTCCTCCTCCGCTTCCTTGGGCTGCTCCTCGTCGCCTTCTTTGTCCTCTCCTTCCGCGGCACCCTCCGCGGCACCCGCCAACGCCTCCGGAGCTTCAGGCCGGGGCTCCTTCTGGAAGAGGGTCTTCACGATCTCCAGATCCTGCTCATGCCTCTCGTATTCCTCGATATCCTCCTTGGTGCGTAGCAAACTCTTGGGATCGATGACCACCTCCGGCTCAGGGCTAGGGACGGCGGACTCCGAGACCGACTTAGACGGGCTCAACTTCCGGCGCACCTTGACCTTCTGCACGGGGAGCAAGCCGTCATCGACGTTCGTAGCGCCCTCATCCGCACGCGGTACGTCAGTCATGACCTGATCCTCCTCATCCGTAGGCTCCTCCTTGACGATCTGATCCTCCTCCTCAACATCCTCCCCACCGTCATCATCCTGCGCGACAAACAAAGCATCATCATCATCCTCCGCCTTCTTCTTCTTTTTCTTCTCCGCCTCAGCCTCCTTCTTCTTGACCTCCGCAGCCCCCGTCGTACTAGACTCCATATTAACACTAACCACGCGCTCCTCATGCTCATGCCTCTCCAACCGGAGGGGCCTCAACCCCCCGACCCCAATGCCCCCGCGGCCCTCCAACTTCACCTTCCGATCCTTATGGTCCACTTCATCTTCATCATCACTCCCCAAATTAATCCGATCAATACTCACCCGGACCTCGCCATCGCTCTCATCCGAACTCACATACCCCTCCCCACCCTCCCCGACCTGCGTCGCCCCGAGATCCATCACACTGCGACTCCGGGACCGGGAATCAAACCCACCGCCCAGCGCTCCACCGCGCCCGCGTCGCGCTCCACCACCACCCATCCCAGACCCCAACGGCCCTCCCCCGGGCCCCATCATCCCACCGCGCATGCCCCCGCGCCCGCCTCTCCCTCCGCCATGCTGTCCACCGCCGCGCCCCCGCTGAATGGCAGCGGCCTCCTTCAACCGCTCGCGGTTCCGCTGCGCCTCGAGCTTCTCGATCGCCTCGCGCTCCTCCTTGCTGCGTCGGTTCACCGCCCGCGGCTTGTACTTCAGGGTCGGCTTGGCCGGTTCACTGCTCCCCGCGGGGCCGCCGGGCGCGGGGGTCGGCGACGGCCGCGCGATGCTGCCCGAGGGCGGGTTGCGTTTTTTCAGGGTTTGGAGGCGTTGCACCGGGGGTTTGGGGCCGGCAGCAGAAGTCGTAGTCGTAGATTCGGTGGTGGGAGCATTAGTAGGTTCAGCGGCGGAGGCGGCGGCGGCGGCGGCGGTCGTACGGCGGGTTCCTGCTGCTGCTGCTCCCCCGCGGCGGGGAGGAGCTTTGGGTGGCATTTTTCGGGGGGAGGCGAATGTGAAACTGGAAAGTGTGTTATCGTAGCGTGGGGAGGTTGTGGAGGTGCGTCCGGTGATCGTAGGTCAGGGTAGGTCTCAATTGGTATAAAGCCTGTTTTTACAAAGTCCAGGGAAAGAGAACTGGGTATGTCGTCGTAGGAGGTAGAAAGATGCGTGAGATTGCGAAGTGCAGTGGCTAACCTCCCGAAACTTTTTTTCCCGGTCCGTCGGCCTCTCGGCGGCCACGGCGGGCAGAAAATTCGGGAAGGAAGCGCGCGTCTAGCCCGGGAAAAGTGCGGGGCGGCGGAAATTTGTATCCGCTAGCCTCGATCAAGTATGGTCTGGCCCGACCCGCGACCCGACTGGCCGGCATCTGTCAGGGGCTTAGTCAGCACTCAGCACGCTCATCCCACCTTCCAAGTAATTCCTTTGTTCTTGGTGAATAAAGGAACTAAACATTATACTTTAAGCTGAATGAGAAGTTAACCTGTCATCAATAGACTGCATATGCTAATAAATTGATCGCGAAACATTGAATGCCACCGAGTCAAGTCCTGGTCAGGTCTACTGTATCTGCATAGATCCTCATCTGAAACATATATTTCTTATTCGATCACCCTAGACCAGACAGTTATTGTTCCGTCTCCACCAGATCAGTCGAATAATGACTCAGCCATTCAAAACAACAAAACCAATCAATCCAGATACATTGGCACAATCATCGCACGGTAATGAGAGGTGGAAGGCGACCAGGCACCCCACAGGGCCGCATCAAATTCAGCTGCAGATAACGCCAAAAGAACACGACACAATAAGCACAATCAACCCGCTCAGTTCAATCGCTAGAACTATTGAATGGAATGCAGAGTGTAATGGGACAAGCATGACGATGTGAGGGACCGTGACAAAAGCTCGGAGCTCGTCGAGTTGATGCGAGGTGGTGAAGTCGATAGTCGGAGGGAGCGTGGGTGTAATGTAGGTGGTGGGTGGAAGGTTGAGGTTGGAATGAGCGACGCACCCAAAGGAGCCGTCCGAGCGGTCGCAGAGTCACCCACTCCTACCGAGGTAGAAGTGCGAGCTACTGCGCACAAGAGGGACAGACTTCAGGATGGAAGGCCAACGGTACAGGGTCAAGGTTATGAAAGGAGGGGAAAAATGCGATACACAGATAATTCCACTCGTCTATGTTGAAAGGTAAAAGGTAAAATATGTTTGCGGAAATGCAGCCATCCAGGCACAGCTCATAAGTCGATATTCGGACAAACAGGTGCAGGTGCGAATGTGTATCTGAGATAGAAAAAGCAACAGGACCGTCATCCTCATGCCGGATACAGGATAGGTCTAGCGCTTGCGTTTCTTGTTCTTGTCGGCGATAGCAGCCGATGACGAAGACGACGACAACGACAAAGAAGGCATGGGGACGGCAGTAGTCACCAGCGTTTGAGCCTCGGCGCCGTTGGGAGGAGAATCAACGGTCTTCTTCACGGGAACCCCCATGTGACGACCGTAGCGGCCTTTGCGACCGTTCCCTTCGTCTTCGCTGATGCAGCCATCAAGGCCAATCCCAGCATCCTTGCATCGGCCGCAAGGGCGTTGCCGATCACAGCCCTTCTTGCTCTTGCGGCATCGCTGGCAACGCGGCTTGGTGGACAGGTCCTCTTCATCGGCAGCGAGTGGGTGAGGGTGCTGATGTTGAAGGGTCACGGACGAGGTCGAGCTCTTGCGTCCAGGCGCTGGGCTAGCTAGGACCGGCGACACCGCTGCTTTCTGTGTGACCACTGTGGGAGTCGGTTTAGCCTTGCGCACGGCACCATTGGTGGTCGCCTTGGCTGTCTTGCTCGGGCGCGGTACCGACTTGGACCCACGGGCCTTGGTCGAGGTCGTGCTACCGGCGCGGACCTTGACCTTCTTAGACTTGGGGGCCGACTCGTGATAAAGGGAATCATCGTCCATCTCATTCTTGATGGTGTGATCATGCTGTCCATCCTCCTGGTGATACTCATCATCGTAGCCGTCGTAACTGCCATCGGAACTGTCAAAGCTTGGCAGAATGTCGTCCAGTCGCTTATGGGTGCGCTTCATGGCACCAGGGGGCAACATTGGGCTGGAGTCCAGCCTCTGCTTGGTTCGCAAGGGCAGATCATCATCGTCGTCATCGTCATCCTCGCTGTACTCGTCACCATCGCTGGTGGCGCCAGTCGAGGAGGCAGCATCCGCAGCACCGCTGAAGGCATCATCCAGGGTGGATGCAGATGTGCGACCATGCGAGAAGTTTGACGCATCGCCCAGACGAATCAGCTGCATGGCCACATCCTCATCGGAAATGCAGCTCGCGATGGTTGGGTCGGGCGTAGGGAGGACCCCGTGGGCCGTGTTGCGACCAGCCGAGTTGTTGCTGTACTGCCCCGATGATTGGGTTGCGGCCCGGTCGCGCAGGCGATGTCCGTGATCAGGAACCATCGGCGTAGCATAGACAGAATTCTGGCCCTGATGAAGGCTATACGCTTGTTCATTGTGTCCATAGCTCTGAGGAGAAGGAAGAAGGGGTTGTTGTTGTTGTTGTTGGGAGTTATAGGGTCGCTGAGTGGGGCGGGCAAAAGGTGAGACGGCTCCTTCTTGGCCGATCGACCGGCGCTGAGGGGAGATGGAGGAAGTGGAGGTTGTGAGGGGCACCTGAGGGGGGGCGAACAGCGGCAATTCCTATATGGATGTGAAATCAATGATCAGCAACTGTCCAAGCATTGAGGCTACGTCTGATGGTATCCCTTACCGAGCTTTCAAACTTGGGCCGCTTCCTGCGACCATCTTGAAGGATGTTCTCCATGCTGATATCTGAGCTACCCAACTGCTCACTACGAGGCTTCCTGGCGCCCGAGACAGATCCATAGCCACCCTCACTGTCGCTGTAGCCTCCATCCTCCATAAAACTGCCATGCGTGCTGGAGCCTCTGCTCTTGTTGCCCCCGCGCGATGACTGTTTGTGCTGCGATGCGCTGCGACGGCTGCGCCCGGACGGCGACATGCTGCGCTTCCGAGCGAGCCGGGAGGCTGGCCGAGATGGGGGCTGCCCATGCTCCAACATGTGCGCCGCCTGCATTGCCGGCGCCATCTGGAAAGGCTCTCCCAGACTGGGGCGCTTGCGAGCGTCCATGGGCAGGTGTCCATAGAAGCGGTCCCCGTAGCCTTCAGTATAGGCTTGCACGGGGATGACTCGCACGTACACCGTCATGTTATTTCGGAGATTCTCATACCTGGCAATAAGGGTGATACCCTGTTCATCCTCAAAGCTGACCCCGCTAGCAGTGGTATCGTAAATCCCATAGAAGTTCTTGACCGTGGTCACAATGGAATCCGTGGTATCATGGGGATAGATCTGGACTCGCATAGGTATGCGAGCCCGCACCTTAGAGTTCTCATCGAGTAGTAGCTCGAAGGCGACGTTCTTAGGCACAGAGCTCCGGGGGGAAGGCTCCTGAGGCGAGCGATAATCGCTATAGGCAGGCGACGCCCCAGGAGCCGCATGCTGTTCGTACGAGACAGCCTGCATGATGGGAAAGGTCCAAAAGCGGGTGCTACCACACTGCTACTACATCGATGATCGTATCAACCGGCTGCTCTTGTTTGGGGGTGGATGGGATCGATCCGGATGGGAAGGGAATAGGATGAGTGGGGGTGGGCGGATGTTGGAAGAGGGAAAAGGCAGAAACGGGAATATGAGGGTATGGGCAAAGTCCATCCAAACCTACCACAACAGTATACCCAGGAGAGGCTGGTTAAAAGATGGATCACCCGCGATTGATTATATTGACAGGATCGATGACCCCGAGTTGTGGTGGATGGGATGAGGACACCCCGAGTCGCAACAGCCGAGAGCGACGGGAAAGGCGAGAAAAAACCGATCGATGCTGAAAGGAAAACCAGTATGAATGTCAGCACAATGTGTTCCAGATGAATTCAGATGATTGGAAAGTCTTCAGTGAGAGAGAAGATGGCAGGAAGCCGATGGTATTCCAAGGCCTGCTGAGTCCTGATGGATTGCATACTTGAGGAGGGAGGGGGGGGGGAGGAGAGATGGGTGTGGGCATTGAGGAAGAAGCAGGGAAGAAACAACCCGAATCGGTCGGAAGAGGAGGAAGAGGATTAATGACACACCGATGACAGGTCAAATTGAATTATCCAGAGTCGCACCCATGTACCAGATCCGACAGGATGAAGAAGGAAGGATAGCGATGGCGATGGGAGGAGGGAGTCGGGGGTCGGGCCGTGGGCGAGGTGAGTCGTTCTACCAAGCGCTTGGGTATGTCAGCGGTGGCATCACGCAGAGCCGAAGCGAGTCAGGAGAACAGAGCGGACCAGCACCCCATGCTGCAAGCCGCGAACACAAATAAAGAGAATAATACGATCAAGAAGAACCTACCAGATAGATACTGCACCCAAAAATCGAGGAAGGATGAGGGGCGGAAGGGCGATGGGCGAACGAAGTCGAAGGTTGAGTTGTCGAAAGAGGGTTGAGGAGGAGGAGGGAGGAAGAGGAGAGAGAGAGAGACAAGAAGAGGGAGAAGCCGACTGAAAGACAACCCAGAAGTGGTTTCACCCACACCACTTCAGCAAGCTACGTACTGGGGTCGGTGACCACATACGTCTCTTATTTCCCCCCCTTTCCATAGATTTTTATTATCGCCGACTCACAAACGATCTCAAGGTCATTATATCACTTAATTGAGTCTATTTATCTTCTATATTTTCCACATTGTAAAATGCGCGTTGGTCTATTGCATCGCAAAAGTCCCAGATCGCATTCCGTCTACGGCCCGGATACGGCGGCGTTTACGGGGAACATTGACTGCTCTCTTGCGACCGTCGGACGTCCCAGGCGGTCTTTAATCTCCTTCGCCATGAGTCGCAATCCCTGTATCTCTAGAATAACGGTCTTATTCTGAACTGTAGACAAACAGAAGATGGGCCAGAGCGTGCGAAAGGCATTCGGGTGGTTGAGCCATCAGCCCGGGTCTGGCGCAAACTGACAGCGCCTTCCTCCTCCACCTCCACCTTCCGCAGATCTCCGTCTTTGGGCATAAGCATGTCGAGAGTGGCACGAGAATTTTCGCATATAGCTTAATTACGTAGATAATCTGTGTGTAGTGACTAGCTCCTACTCGAATTTGATAAATACAACTCTTCGTCGCACGACACAAACGGAGAGGTAGAAACAATTCGAGGGAAAGAAAGCGGAGTGGCGTCGGGTTGGCTGGCACATCCTCAGCGCGGCCACGTCGAATGACACCCCCGAATCACATCCCGGTCACCACCAGACATGGTCCAGCTGCGATCCCCAAAGGAAAATGATCCGGTTTGAAGTCACCGCCAGACTTCGTTCTTTTGCTCATGATTGATGTTCAAAACCACACGATAAATCCGACAGGCGCAAACTGGGCGAAGAGAAGGAGATCCTATCGCAAAATCCACACAATGCGATCAGCCCCGTCGCTCATTGCGCCAGTGCGATCCGGATTGTTCCTCGTTGTTTTCGCTTCTCCCACTGGGAAACGGGTTTTACTCAGACATGCAGGGCTGAAATTCCCGCCCGGAGCTCTCGATTCATGGGCCACAGACCTGGGGTGGCAGCGAGCGATGCGACCATCGTTCCCTTCTTCATCTTCATCGTTTTCTACCCCAGTCTGTCAACTACAAGCATGTGGATTGAACTGATTGATGGAACCGGTGGAATGAACGAAAGGGAATGGGGCAACAGAGGGACAAAGATGGAGATGATGGGGGCATTATTGGCTCTGGCTCCAGGCCAACAGCACCGACCAGCGATCACGCCCAATTGTTGCCTCGTTTCATGATCTGCGCCTGTCCAGGCTTGTCCTTTCTTTACCCCTCCCTCCCTCCATCGGCCAGCATGGACTACGTAAGGTTGGATGGATGGATGGATGAATGAATGGATGAACGGACGAGGGATTGTCCTTCACCAACCGTCGGGTAGGCACAAGTCATCCATCGACCTTTTCCCCCATCCCCTCCCCTCCCCTCTCCAGGATTCTAACATTCCTTCACTACTAAATTACTGTATGTATGTCAATGCGTTCTATCCGCGGGTAGAGTGTGTCTATCCGGTCGTCTCTCTTTCCATCCAGTGACCATTCGTTTCCCAGTCAGTCTGCAGGTCCCGGTGCGACATCGCATTTTCTCTATCAGTTCCGTCATCCTCCCCAAAGGTACTTACTCCCTTCTCTTTCGATTCACGGTGGCTTCGCAAGGTCGAGCTATACATTTGCCTTTATTAGTCATTACTCATGATTTGGAGAACCTTGGGGAATCGCATTGGGGAAGGAGAAATCTGAAGCGGCTAAGAAAGCATGAATGTAAAGCGCAAAATCAGACACAGAGACGAGCAACTCCGAGCCACCACCAACCGGCGCAACGATGTGGTTAGCCGGATGAGTGGGGGGGGGAAGGAATTTGGAGCAGGTGCAGTGCTGTGCAGCAGCCCACACCCTAACAAGTAAGGTTATGATTATAGGTCACATAGACACCATCCAGGAGGACTTTTCTTCTCGAGTTTCTAACTGCAGATGATTAGGAGGAAGTAGGGGAAATAGCAAGTGGTAAGAGACTGAAGAATCAAATGTTTGCTGTAGATATTTAGTTGATTGTTGTAGTGTTTCTCGGATGGAAAGAAAATTGGGGGGGGTTCGCTCGGCGGGGCTCCTCTCTGGTTGTCTCATTGAGTCAATCAATAAACTCCGAATAAAGAAAGGATTGAGTGACTTTCGTCCTGCAACGCCGACTATTGTTGTTGTTGTCCTTTGCCCACACCGAAACTTTGCGCTCATTCAATAGTCCGCTTCGGGTCGCTCGCAATACCTCAAAACATCAGCTGTTCCCTTTTCCTGCTGCTGCTGCTGCTGCTTCTTCGTCCTCTTCTTCTTCTTCGACCTTCCCTCCGTTTGTTCTAGGTTGATTCAACAAGAGCTTATTTATGTGGATACTTTCCCCTCAATTCTGTCACCTGTGTGAAAAGGCGCAACCCTTGTACTCTGTAAGACCGATTCCTACAGTCGCGATCGGCGATTGAGCAGACGAGGATTGATTCCCCTCCACCACTTGATCCTCCCTCCCGTATCATGATAGGCAGCGCCGGATCCGCGTCCCACCGTGGCTTCCTGGCGACGTTGGCATTTGCACGGGTGTAAACGGGAACCAGAGAACAAGGCCGAAGCAAAACTGAACTCCCAGAGACAGGGAAGACAAAACTTGTAAAACCAGTGAGAAACCTGGGTTTATTCAAGTCATTGACGCTGCCTTCATTGTTCTTCCCCGTCTCGGTCGTTCACCATCTAACTATCTATCACTCATTCCTACTATGCGCTGGCTCTGATCTCGATCGCACAGGCCATTCCTCCCCCACCCCTCAATCCTTCTTCTCCCTCTTCCTGCCTCTTTATACGACGTCTTCGAAAAGATCTCTGAAATGGTGTTCGGTCTTGTATGAGCAACCCCACGGAGAACCTTTTGCGCCTTGTAGCCACAACCAACAGGCGTGCTCATCGGCCTCTATCCATTGCGACCTCCAGCCTCAAATGACCGAGCGAAATGGCGGAGCGTAGCGCCCGCACTGATCACGTGGCTTCGCGTTCCCGAGCGGACAGTTTCGTGTCGCCCGGCGCGTCCCCCGCCTGCGCATAGTTCAGCCCCTGCCCACACCCGCCAAAAGCAAGAATGCATTGATGTAATTCAGAAGCAGAATCGCATCGTTCTGGTGATAATTCTGCTGGCTGGGAATATCATTATATATCGACGGATCGCGAGATTTCGGGGTGGAGGAGAAATGAAGTGCTAGCGGGAAGACGCGCTGAGTGATGTCACATGGGCTTGGGAGGCAGACAAACCAGACAAACGAGACAAACTGCAGCAATCTTCTAACTAAGTTAAGGTATCCTGGGATGACATAAGCATAGCGGTGGTTGTTGACGGTAACCAAGTAAGGAAGTGACCGTTTTGGGTAATACTGCCCTTTGTCCAGTCACGTCCACGGTTGCCATCCAACCGGCTGAACTAATTCCAATTAGTGCTGCTGTTGCTCCCTCAGCAGTCTTCAAGCCTCCTCCGCCTCCACCTGTGTTTTTGTCCTGTCCTGCCCTGCCCTGCCCTGTCCCAGGTCGCGCCCTCCTCTCCCTTCCCTTCCTTCTGGATTCCTTCGTCGTCGCTTTTTTTCAAAGTCTTTCTGAACTTTTCTATAACTTGCTCCAGAAAAGCCTCGTGCCAATCCAGTGCTTGTCCTTTGTCCCGGTCATCACTGGATTAATCCTTCGTTTTCTCTGCACCTGGTCTTGGCGTGGTTGTTGCTGTTGTTGTTTGTTTGGGGCCGCTCTTAGTATAACTTTAGCTGCTGCTGCAACAAAACTGCTCCTGCGCAGAGCGCAGAGAAAGTAAACAACAACAGCCCAAGTCCCATCCACAACCCACGTCGAGTTCTGGAGGCTCAAAAGTGAACGCTGACTCAAGTTCACCATGGATGCAAAGGTACGTTATCGTCTTTTCGTTGTTCCTCTTCGATAGCGTCGATCACCTTGTCGGCCATATGTTGTCCTCAGTGCGCACTTTACCCACGCGCCCATGCAGCGAAGGACATCTTGATAAATCTTCTACAAAGTCGCGCCAGCCTCAATATCAGAGCTAATCACGATTTACTTCCATAGCCCCAGAGAATCCGCGTTCGCGGCGACGAAAATGCCCCCTTCCCTGCCGTAGCCGGCAAGACCATCCACCAGCAGAACAAATCGACCCCTGCGTTGTCGGCCCTCTATCAGAACGGCGTTTCGAAGCCTACCACCAAGCGAGCGGCCTTTGGAGATGTCAGCAACACGTCAAAGCCCGTCAATGCCAGCCGCGACGACGCATCCCTTGCTGGAAGGAAGCAGTCCAAAGCTGCCGAGAAGCCCTCGGTGGTCATTGAGAAGAGGTCCACTGTCCTAGCACAACCGGCCCAACGCCCAGGGGGGATGAAGGGAATCTTGAGTAATGTCACCAATGTCGCTCATGCGAAGTCCGTCGAGCCGTCGAAGCAGGCTGCCAATACACGCAAGACCCTGAACAAGCGGGCCACTATCTTCAAGGACACATCCAAGGCACAAGCCGAAAAATGCGAAAACACATCCAAGGAAACCAAGAAAGAAGCGAAGCAAGGAAAAGGTGAGCCTTCCCTTGCACATGCGCCGATTGCCCCTGCGAAGCAAGATGGCGCAAAGGAAGAAACCCAATCAGATGAAGTCCAGGATCCTGTAGTGGGAGAATTGGAAGAGCACGCTGTCGTTACCTCTGCAGTGGTAAAAGATGACAAAGAATCCTCCAAGCTTGATGATGACGTTTGTGAGGTGCAAGGTGTGAGGGAGAGTCGTGAAATCCGCGAGGAAGTTGGCCCTGCAGGCCACGATATATCTGATCCTGCTACCAAGTCTCACCGCGAATCTGTCTCAAGCTCTCACGTCACCCATGATCGCCAACCGGCACAGGCTGAATTTGAGGATTATTGGGACGATGAAGAGGAGGAGAATGAGGACGATGATGGATACATCACGGCTCGCTCTTATCGTTCGCGTGGCGAGAACACCACCGGCGGCGCTACGACGGTCCTGTTCCCTAAGTACACCCAGCAAGTCCGACGGGAATTAGCCCTTGCACAGCAAGTTGTCGAAGCTACGCGAACAGAGGAAGATATTGAAGATGAGTTCTGGGACACAAGTATGGTTGCGGAGTACAGTGAGGAAATTTTCGAGTATATGAGAGAGCAAGAGGTATGGACCCCTTGTTTAAAACGCAATTGACAAGGAGGAAGTCACTAACAATACCTGCTATGTATAGATCAAGTTATTGCCAAATGCGCATTACATGGACAACCAGGCCGAGATCCAGTGGTCGATGCGCTCCGTTCTCATGGACTGGCTAGTGCAAGTCCACCATCGGTTCTCGCTGCTGCCTGAGACCCTCTTCCTTTGCGTCAATTACATTGACCGGTTCCTGTCCTGCAAGATTGTCTCTCTTAACAAACTTCAATTGGTGGGCGCCACTGCGATCTTCATTGCTGCTAAGTATGAAGAGATCAACTGCCCGTCCATTCAGGAGATTGTCTACATGGTCGACGGCGGCTACTCTGCAGACGAGATCCTGAAAGCCGAATGGTTCATGTTGAGCATGTTGCAGTTTGAATTGGGATGCCCTGGCCCGATGAGTTTCCTGCGCCGCATCAGCAAAGCCGACGATTATGATCTGGAGACGCGCACTCTCGCCAAGTACTTTCTGGAAATCACCATCATGGACGAACGCTTCGTTGGCAGCCCTGCTAGCTTTGTTGCAGCGGGAGCTCATTGTTTGGCTAGACTGATGCTGAGAAAGGGCGACTGGGTAAGACTACCGCTTTTTTGACACGCGTGAGAGATGCTAATCAAGCACGTCTAGACACCCGCCCATACCCACTATGCAGGATATACTTACTCTCAGCTTCTGCCTCTCATTTCGCTCATGATGGAGTGCTGCGAGAGGCCTAGCAAACACCATGCCGCGATCTACGAGAAGTATACTGACAAGCGGTACAAACGCGCTTCTCTCTTCGTCGAGGCCGAAATGAAGCGAGGGTTTCTTCTTCCTGACAACCACAAAGACACTTCTGTTTTCCGCCGGAACTCAACCCTCGAAGCAGGCCACTATTGCAAGAAAGTCAACATTTAGTGTCATTCCTTACCTAGGTCCCCAATCAGGCTCATGCTTCGATAGTCGAGCGCCGAACCACCATACAGGGAATCAATCGACCCACACCACGTGCTACTGGCCAGAACTCTTGATTCCTTCTTTCACTCTTTACATTTCCTTACACTTTAATCAATGGACTAGGGGCGATGTCCCAAGTTATGCACATTGGACTTTAGAACCCACAAAAAAGAAAAACTGACCACAGGGTCAGGATATCAGATACCAAGGGAAGGCGGAGTTCTTTTGATTTTTGTATTGATCTAATGATTCGGATGACATGAAATCCGCGCAACACATCCAGGCTCGGGAGTTCATGGAATCGATGGCTAGTTATCTCTTTTTTCTTCTTCCTGAAACCTGCCATTCCTTCAGGTTCTGCCCATTTGTTCCTCTCCTTTGTCTTTTCGTCATCACTCCTCTTCTTATGCTATGGCATGCCGCCTCGTGATGATTACGTTTCCGGCATGTTTTGGTCCCTCATGGACAGTGACCCGACGACACGATGTCAAAGAGTGTCACGCACGATGAAATTTTCCCTTTCCTATCTTCCTTTTCTCTCTTCTGTCACGGATTTTGGAATGACGTTTGTCCTTTCCTTCTCTTACGCGGCACACTTCGTTTTTTCTTCTCCTTTTCTTCCCGCTCGACGGATTATCATCCAGGATTATGGCGCAGGTATTAATGAAAATGAATCTTACTTTTTTTTTATTTTACATGCTGCAGTGGCGTGCGTATCTTGACCTCATAAATCTAGTTTCTAGGCTTGGGGCTAGTACAAAGCGTTGTCATTGAAACCAGCTGTCCTTCCGGCACACGGTCAGTATACCCAACCCCAGGGGCTCACATAGACCTCCCTCAATCTCTACCTCCTCCTTGCTATGGTACAACGACCTCTCTTCTAGAATTAACCCAAACAAATCACCCAGCAAAGCAAGCCGAGTCCCTTGCCAACCGACTCATCTATGTATCTATGTATCTAGCTATCTAGCCAATATCTTATCCAAGAAAGAAGATAATCAGACATTAACCCAATGTCTGCAGCACGCAGCCCGCTCAGAAAGACGGAAATGGAAATGGGAATTCATTGATCCAACCCATTAAACTCGACCAACCTCTTCACGACCTCGATCACCTGGTCCGCCAGGGGCCCGCTCACACCCCCAGACCCAGACCCAGACCCGGAAGTAGGCTGATCGATCCGGCCGGCAATCACCTCGTCCAGCATCATGCGCAACCGGGACACGAGGACGCCGATGCGCGCCCAGCCACGCAGCCGCAACCACCCGTCGACGATCAACCCGCGCCCCGTGGTATCGAGGTCGATGGATCCGCAGAAGAGGAGGAGGGAGAAGGCGTTGAATGCTACATTGGCGATATTAGCAGCCGAACCAACCCCTCAAAAAAATATGGAAGATTGGTGTGGGGGT